ACATAAACGTTATTCCATCGTGTTAGACACGTCATGGACTGTGCGATTTTTGTACTGAGGAAAGTTTGAAGATTGTTAAGCATAACTCTTTCATTCGACTTAAGCTTGTAAGGATTTACAGTGGTTCAAACACAGTGTACTTCAAACATGAAGCTTTATAGAATAGGAATATTTATAGCCATTTTGATATTTATTGAGGATAGCACGTAGAGAAACGTGTGTTTATCTATTTTCATAGAAAAAAGCTTTTTCACGGTAGTCATATCATTAATTTCGAGAGAAAATTAAGTGGCAGTCACTAAGTTAAATAACTCAGTTAAAAGAAATTCATGAATACTTTTAAGGACAGTTAGTTTGTACATTTGAGAAGTCTGGAAAACGAGAATTCTTGAAAAAAGTGCCAATCAATTGTTGTTAAAAAAGAGTTGGGGACTGTATGTTCTCTCCAAGTATGCCTGAATATTCATGTATTAAAATAGTACTTCTGTAATTTGTAAAGGTTGCGCGCTTTTTTTCCTAACTAAAAGAGCAAAGTCAGAGTGATCACAGTGTCTAGCGTCCTTCGGCAATCTTCGGAGGACTCTCGTAACTGTTGATAAAGTGCGGAGATCTCCGGAAGTCTTCGGATCATCTTGGCCTCGGGTGAACTTCGGAGTTACGTTTACTAACGAAAACCCTTTTGTGTAAAAACCAATCAAAACTCAGAGATTTTTCTCTTATATTACAAGAAAAGAAGCCTTATCTACACGATCATATGTTTATGTAGACATCAACTCGTGCACAGCACTGAAATAGCAACATGAAAACTTTATTTCTACACGAATAAAATCAGTGACACTGAAAATGCGATAGATTGTCTGGTTTTACTTATTTCCGAGTGAAAGTCCGTATTAGAAATATCATATAAGTACTCGTTCTAGGGATAAACTTGGTATAAAGATAAGCTGGAAAAGGTTATTGGCATTTGTTCCTGTTAAAATTCTATGCCAAAATCTTTGGAATCAACGGGTAAGCAAGCCATTGTTTAAGGCAGTATCGGCGGGTTTTCTGATGAATAGAAAATCTGAAACTGTTCTAAGCTCTCTTCTTTTGCTCGTCAATGTTCACATTCCAGTAATAGAGAATCTGTGTTACCATGGTTACATTGAATATGGTCGAGATGATGAACGTCACCAGCATGTACTTGTCTCCAGTCTCCTGCAGGGTTGTGAAGATGCGGGCGGCATGGTTAAACAGTAACATCACCACCATAACGAACGATAGCTGACCTGTGTGGCCGTTACGGAAGTTGGTCGCGATCTGCGAAACCTGAGGATATAACCACCTGGTCAGCATATATTGATTTCTAATTAGACTGTAAATTTTGTGTCAAAAAAGATATACTCTTTTCTTAGAACTAAAGCGAGTGTAACCAGCCATTTCATGTTATTTTAAATCGTTCACGAAACCTCTTCAATTTTATTTTTGCCTTGATGACTCGGAAACATTAAAAGAAATCGATGTTGAATTCCTTTATCAAAAATTTGTCTGGTTAGAAACACCCATTACACACAAACTTCTCCTTTTCGACTTTCCCGCCCTTGACGACGAATCCAATGTTTTCGCCATCGACGCTGATTGCATGTTTTTCCGAGCTTGAAAGGTTTTACCCAACTCGTTTTCTGGAAACATTACTTGTAAAACATTTCCGACGATTTTAATTTCGGACAAAAATTGGTGTCCGAAAATAAAACCGTCCGAAACGTTAAGCGTCCGAAATATTTGCAGTACATTATAGCACTTTAATTAGCACCAAAGCCGTCAGTTTCCTTTATGGAACAAACGACTTGACCCCGACGGTGCATCTGTAAAACCTCGAAGGTGCAGTAAAACTATTATTTTCGCAGATGTTGTTTCATGTCTAGAACGTAATTTATAGGCGTAAACTTACGTTAGCTATGTTTCAGCAAAGTGTCCAAAAGTTTTGTCTCAAATTTGTCCAAAGTGAGATAAAAAGTGCCCGAAAATTAAACGTCCGAAATTTTTTGCAAGTAATGTAATTGTTTTCCCGCCCGGCGTCTGATTTGAACGCTCAACACTGGTTGCATCTTTTCCCGCCCTCTGACGAGTGTCGGCTTCGGCGTCCGATTGGTTCATTCCGTTCTTTGTGTCTGTCGTGATTGGCCAGATTTTTTTGTTGGCTCGACACGGGTTATTAGCACAGCTCGACACAGCTTATAGAGCATGAAAAAAGAAACTCACCCTGCTTATGCTAAGAAAGAGGATGTTAAGAGAAACCAGCTGAACCAGGACAGCAATGGGTGTCAGTCCAGATAACACCACATAAACAATGGCACCATAAAGAAAGGGAAACAAGACGGCTGCCAAAGGTCTGCTAGAGTAGTAGAAAAACAACATAACAAGGAAACAGGTCTGGATAGCTTTGAACAGGCTCTCGCCCCACGTGCTGAAACAAAAGAAAAAGGAAAATTAAATTGGGGTGTGTGTATGGTTCTTTAAACCCCTAAGTATCTCAAGAAAGATGCTATGCAGCTATACAAAGACTACTTAAGCTTGCAGTAGGGGCTCATGCGGGGAATATCGTTAAAAAGAGATGAATGCTATTTGCATTTGAAATGACTCCCCGAATTAGCCTCAGTTGCAAGCTAGTTCCGATCCAGTACCAAGTGAACGAATATGACCAAGCGTGAGGTCAAGATGGCTGGATACTGGCCAAGTTCTTTTTTCGCAACAAAAGAACGAGGCCAATATCCAGCCATCGTGACTGCAACAACCTTGCTCAATAGAGGACTTATCATATGGCTTTCGGGAAAATTTTTGTTGCAAGATAGCGCCGTCTCGCCCCCTCGGTTAGCCAATCACAGCGCAGGAATTGGTTCATCTTGCCCGTTCACGGAGCTAGCCATATAGGTCTTATATTAAGAAATGATTCTTTTTACCTGAATGGAAATCCCCTTGCGGAGCTGTAGCTGAAGGTGCCAGTCATTGTCGTGAGTTCAGTGATAAAGGACAGTAAACTGAGGCCTTCCACACTGGACGCTCGTAGAACCTTGATTATCTGAGGTAACTTAGCTAAAACGAAATGGAGAAACAAAACTTTTATCCACCTTTACTGCTTTTATCACTTGAAATTGTAAGTCCAGGCGTATGACTCTGGGCATGTTTCTTTGGCATTTACTATTTATTAATAACGAATTCTTAATCTCAGTTCTCGACAAAATTTTCGTGGATCTCTCAGCCATATCTTTTATAATTTTAGGACATTTCTCGGCCATCTAAACTTTTTTTGATCTCAGAACTCAATTGTCAGTTAAAAAACGCGTTATTTTTTAGCTGACAATTTGAATCGGTGCAATTCTTTAAGGTGATTCCTCACATTTGCATTGCGCATCCTCACTGCGCATAATTTATGGCGTCATTAGCGCGCGTTCGTGCACGCGCACATTGAAAACATGGCGGATTTGCTAGTGGACAAAGTTTGAACAAAAATCTATTGGCAGTTTTATTTCAGGGGAATTACCTAAGTCTGACATTAAAGTAACGCGCCCCGAAAGTTATTGAAGTTTTCTAGATCTCTTGTACTCATCCAGGGTTTCCGCTCGTGTTTCACAACTTTGAGTTTATAGAAACTGTGCAAGATATTTTTTCTCTTCTGGTGGTGGGAGCTTGATCATTTGCTCATTGTTATAAACGCCTTTTATTCCTTAGTCCAGTCCAATGCAGATGTATTCCCACAATTGTAAGAAAAACATCGCGTGACTGACTATGACTGCTGACATCTTCGCGTGACCCGAACGCCCTTGAAACATACAACTTCTGCTTCACTAATTAGCATAAACTTTTACTTACCAATGGAAGCTAAAGCAACAATAAAATATCCCAAAAGTTTACTCAGTGCAATCTTCAGACAAACAACTGCAGAAAAATCACACACAACATAAAAACCCATGCCGTTCTAACAACATAGCTTACTTACGATAGCGAAATTGGGGCGAAATATTATAAATTTTCAATTAGTTAGTAAGGAGGCACGAAACATCAAAGCCCGGTCTAAAGCCACGAATTTAATTCAAAATTTTTCACAGATCGCGCACTGTTTTGTACTAACATCGTGGCTTCATTCTAGGAAGTCCTAGGAACACACCCCGTTCACATTGAAAATGAAAGCAATCCTCGAACACTCCCTCCTGACTGTTCCAAATAAATACATAAAATCATGGCTGTGTGACCTCAAAGACTGTCAAACATACCGTGAAAGAAGTTCAAGTCGACGAAGAATTCGTCGTGGCAATATTTTGGAATGATGTAGAGAACTAACGGAGTGAAGAAGAACTCGCCGACCGCCATGATGTCAAATGGACAACAGCGAGGAGTTGACCGAATAAACAAACAGTGGGGAATTACTTCCAAGAAATCATAGCTTTAAGACTTCCTCTCACCGAATAAAAATAACAGTCGCAGATTGGACCGCTCAGTCTACAACCGATGATTTTAAGAATTATTTTGTTTCCGGTCGTTCGGTGAAAATAGCGTGACTAATCGCGTGACATCTGGAAGCGACAAGCACTATTTACAACGTTCTTTATAAGGAATGGACCATTATTTTTTTTGAGGGGGGTGAGGAGCTGGGCAATTTTCTGGATGTAAATTTTTTTCTCACCTTTAGTTTGCGCATGATATTTTTTGTGTGTACAATATCCTGTGCAATATTTTTTTTTAAGCCAAACACATGACCTGGTTAGTAGAAGCACTTGCTTGATTTATTTTCCCTCGTGGCTCCCCTTCAATGATTTTTTTTTTCACGTTTTGCCGCGCAGGAACATTTTTTGGTAACTGCTTTAGACAATGAGAAGACAGATGGTGACTACAATGTATAATAATTTCACTAATTATTGTCTTAATAAAGGCTAAAAATGCAGATATCTGAAGTGAAATTGATATTTTTGAAGTGATACAATAGTTTTGTATAAAAATTCAAATCCAAGTCATGAAAATATGCGGCGACGTTTTTGTCAGCGATTGGTTCTAGTTTGTAATCAATATTCATGACTACTTGTGGAATTTGCG